AAATACCAAAGCAAAGTGGGTATTCAGTTATTTTTTCCTAAACCTCAGTTACCAGGTGCCCCGAGGTGTTACAGCGGTCCCGCACTTCCATTTGTTTTCCTTCTACTGCCTACATAGCTAAAGAAGGACTTCTTACTGTTCTTGACTCCCGTGGCTAACCTAAACTCCATGGCTTCTTCGCAAGCTTTCAGGTCCAAGCACCCTTCTTCAGGCAGAAGAGAGTTCGAGGATTGCAGAAGTTCTCTTAGGTAGAAACGAAACTTCATCTTGCACAGGGGCAGGGTGTTGTGGTTGTGCACATGCATGTGTTGCCCGCACCTGACAGCCCTCCTCCTGCCGCAGCCCCTTGCAGGGGGACCTCTGCGGCCGGCCTGCCTACGAGGGGAAACCCGCCTGTCTCCCTTTCTCTCCTTTAAAGGAGAATCCATTTGAAGCTTGTTCGAGGCCCTTTCATTCAGATATATTCTTCCCACCCACTTTCGGGTCATGACCCCGGGCTGAGAAGCGCTGCTGGAGCCGGGCGAGAGCCCACGAGAAGGGAAATGGCTGCAGTGCAGAGGAAGCGCGCGGCCTCCGCCCCGCCCGCACAGCCAGGCGGGCGTCGCCGGCAGGATCCAGCCGCGGTGCTGAGGGCCGCGCTCAGCCTTGGAAAGCAAAACGTTGCGGGAAAGAAACGTCCCCCACACGAGAAAATGCGGTACCCCGCAGCCCACAGGACTGAAGCGGCTCCAGCCGGCGACCCCGCCCGCTGCACAGCACGCATGCGCAACCCAGCTCCTGCCAGGGCTACGAAGCCCGCAGCCGCGCCGCCCCCCATTGGCCCGGCTGGGGCGACCTCCCCAAAATGGCGGTCGCAGCCCCCGCCCTTCCCATCATGGCGACGCCCTGGGGCCGGTCACGTGCTCCCGCCGGGGACGCCCCTCCCCCTCCCGTCATTTGAGCGGTCTCACGTGACCAGGAACTGCCCCGCCGCTGCGGCAGCGGAACGGGTAGCGGAGCCCGGTAAGGCCAGGACCCGCTGCCCGAGCTGCTCCGGCCCGCCTGGCTCCGAGCCTCTCGCAGAGCCCCGCGGCGGGCCCGTCTCTCCGGGGTCTACCCTGTGCCCCGGCGCAGCGCCGGCCGGGCGGAGGCTGCCGGCGGATCCGGTCCTGCCGCGGCCGAGGTGAGCGCGGGCAGGAGGGGGCCGCGCCGCCGCTCAGGCTCCGGCTCCTGGCTCCCAGCGGCGTCTCGGCTCTGAGCCCCTCAGAGGATCCTGCCCGCAGCCCCCGCCCACACCCGCAGGGCTTGCACCCGGCAGCGCCGGTCGCTTCCCTCCTGCAGCTCGCGGCAGCCGGTGAAAAGATGCCCTTTGACACCCGTGGCTTTGGGGTCGGCCCCGCAGAGTTCATTTCAAGCGCGGCTAAATGGGTTGCTTTAAATTCCCCAGGACCAAAATGATACCCGAGTTGTCGGGGCGCCTTGGCCCCGGCTCCGCAGAGGGGTGGGGAGCCTCTGCCCCGCACGTTTGTAAGAGCACACTTGATTGTATGGTGCAGTCAGGGATGATCCTACCTGGAGCGCTTGGAGTAGACCTACAGTCCCCTCCCACCCTACTAGTCCGTGTTGTGTTAACATAAAGCTCTGGGCAGCCACTGGTGGGTGCTGTAATGGCAGCTGGGAGCAGTCCGTTGTCCTTAGCTGCACTGTGGCTGTTTGAAATAGTGTGCTGTGACCTAAAGGTTCTTCCTTTCCCCTGGCTCCTCTTCTCCCTGCCCCATTGCTGCTAGAGAGGTGGAGGGTGACTGCTGGTGCAAAGGTCCCTGCTTAGTTGGAAGCAACTTCAAACTTCTTTTCCTCAGGAAAATGCTTGAAATATGTTGGGGCCTCCCAGCCAGCTGTCATGTAGGGTTTGGCAGTGTTTGGGTTGGGTGGTCTTGTCTTTCTGCAAATCTCTAACTTGAGAATCCAGCAGCAATAGCTGGATTGGGAACAGAAGCTCTAGGGCTCCCAAGTAGCAGCCTTCCCCACCCCTGCTCTGCCAGTCTTACACATCAGTCCTGCAAGCTGCTTCATGCGGGCAAAACTTTGCTCCTGTGCCCAGCCCTACTGACTTACAGGGCCTGCTCCAGGGAAGTACAGCGAATTGGGGGACCCTGAACAGATGACATTCACGAATTCAAGTTCTTTCTCCTTGCTTTTTCACCTTTTTTTTTCTCCCTCCACTCAGGTTTTCTCCTTTAATTTCCAGCTCCGTCCCTTATACCACCATGCCACCATTTGCATCACTCCCATTTGCATGCATGCCTCTTATCAGCTTGTACTAGGTGTTGTACCCACACAGATGAACATCCCTACCTCATTTGTCTGATTTCTGTCTCCTGTACTCTCATTTTCTATGCTTCCTTCTTTGAAAAGCCACATTTTTTTCTCATCTTCCACTAACAAATGCAAGAATCATATCAAGATCTGAATCCCAGACCTCATCTTTCCTTTCTCATTCTTTCATATGTGTCCCTATGAAGTGTTTTGGGAGTAACCTGCCCTCAGCATCATTCCCTTTCTCTATTTCAGGTCCAGTCACTCAGAGCACCAACAATGCCATCCAATAAGTCTGTCTCAGATGCCCCAATCTTCCAGTTCACAAACTGCCGGATATTGAGAAATAACCAATTGCAGAGGTGAGTGTGCAGCATGGTTTGCCTATTTGTGTCTGTCGAGTGCCTGGGAAAAGTGATGTTGGACCCCAGAGAACTGCTGCTTAGAGGAGGAAAGTTCCAGGAGCTGGACCCAGGTCTCTTGCATGGCAAAACAGAACGCTAATCTTGGGACTCCCAGATTCTTATTACATCCTAAGACCTGTAGAAGACACATATGCTGAGTTACCTATGCAGCAGCCCATTAGAAGAGGAGAAGACTCCTGTCATCATCATTTCATCTGCACTATGCTCTTTCTGCATTCTTTCCCTGCAGGGAGAAAGAACCCAATGGGTTCCTGACCCGCTAAATAGAAAAATATAGATGTTGGTGGCACTGGCCTGGCAGGATAGGAACCTTCTGAGGATGACAGTTCCCAGGGGAGAGCATGCTTGGTGCTGAGTTGTTCTTGCCTCCACTGTCCATAATATACCTGGGGCTTTGGCTCCAGGGATATAGGAATGGCCCATCTGATGTCCAAAACCACTGCCAGAGAATGATCACTGTTTGGGCCCTCTCTGCTCTTAGGAGTGATGGTAGATCTATTACATGCATGGCTATATTTTTAGGGAGGACCTGTGGGTGAGAGAAGGGAAGATCCTCAACCCAGAAAAGCTCTTCTTCGATGAGAAGGGGTTTGCTGATATTCAGCTGGATTGTAAGGATAGCATCATTGCTCCCGGATTTATCGATGTGCAGATCAATGGTAAGACATTGTAAGGTGGGTCAGTTTGATGACATCTTACTTGGAGTTGACTCCAGTAGCCTCTCCCTAGTGGCTACACCTAAGCTCTGGCCTTCAATGCTGACTGTCCTGCTGTTCCAGTGCAGGCCTCAGACCCGCAGCAGATTACTGTTCTCATGGTGGCAGAAGGAGTCCCTCTCTCTTGTGACTGGTATCCATCAGGCATGTGTGTCAGGGGTTCCTTTCTTCTATCATCTCCTCTCATCCTTCTCCTACTGACAGGACTTGGGTTAAACAACATGCAGTTTTCAACAAGGTCTACTCTGGCTGTCCAGTGCTGGGCACTGCCAGAGGTAGATATGCCAGCTGTACACAGAGTGGCCTAACAAGGTAAATTCTATGTCCTCATTTTCTTTATGATCCAGGAGGCTTTGGGGTGGATTTCTCCCTAGCTACTGATGACTTCAAATCAGGGATCAACCTGGTTAGTCAGAAGATTCTCTCCCATGGAGTGACCTCCTTCTGCCCCACCCTGGTGACCTCCCCCCCATCGGTCTACCACAAGGTACGGGGAGACCATGGAGCTAGCTCCCATAGTGTAGGAGGCTGAAGCTGGGTCAGCCCCAGCCCATTATACCTCAACCTCTGGGAAAGTGGTGGCATGTGGGACCTGGGCTGGCAGCTGCCTGTTGGGATGTGGCATGGATGGGAGGAGCTGGACTCTAGACCTGAGTCACTTGGTCTTAACCTTCAGACAGCTGACACAGTAGCATTCCTAGGGTCCCTTCAGGCAGCTGACAAAAGCAAATGGGGACTGAGATCTGCCTGCTCTGAGGGATATGTTGTTAGTGACACATGATGGTCTCTTTGGGAGTATAGTGAGGGCAAGGCACTGGAAGACTGAAGCAAGGGGGCTCTGGGGAGGGTCTTTTCTGAAGATCAAGGTTTTTCCTAACATTAGCCATGTCAGGTTTTCCCACTGTCAGGATTGCTGTTGAAAGCTTTACACAGCAAAAGAGCAGCTCTGTGCTAGGTGGCACCATTCCACTGAGGAACAGTTCCCTCTCACCCTGCCCTGGAATAGCAGGGGCAAAATCATTCTCTTCTATACCCATACCCATGGGCCTTGACTAGGGACCTTCCTACAAGCAGGAGGGGTACCATGTCTGTGAGGTTTCTAACAGGTCCCTTTCTGCTAGGTTCTTCCTCAGATCAGCGTAAGAAATGGAGGAGCCCACGGAGCAGGTGTCCTGGGTAAGTAAACAGCAAAATCACCTCCTAGTACTCTTTCCCAGTAGTCTCCCCGCTGTATAGGGCTTCTTGCCTCTGCAGCAGGTGGAGACCACTGCAGAGGCGAACTCTTATGGAAAACACTGACCATGGCTGACAGAGGCCTGAAGCACCGTGTTTTGGGGAGGCCAGAAATGAAATGGCCAGGGCTCCTGGAGATCTCCGTTGGGATATGCAAGTTACCACGGTCCTCCAGACTGCTTCAAAACAATGAGAAAATGACCCTGCTGATAGTGTGTGGCCCAAAGTCAGCAGGTTGGCTATGCCGGTAGTGATGCTATCTCTCTCTTCTTATGGAGTACAGCCATTAGAGACCCTCATTTTTAAGGGGTGGACCACCCAGGCACCCCAGGGTCAGCCCTATCTGAAACCTAGGGTAAGTCACCTGGGGAAGAGTCACCTTTCATTGGCCTTGGTATTTTCCTCAAATCTCAGTTATTGTAAACTTTGTGTGGAGTAGAAAGCAGGAAATGGGGGCAGCATGGTGACTTTGGAGAGGCCAGAGCCAGGAGAGTAAAGATGATAGTTTTATGACTAATACAGGGAGAGGGGGGAGAGCCTTGACTTTTATCCAGCCCTGCAGCTGCCTGCTTCATTCTCAAAGCCATCTAGGAGGGTGGTGTTATGGCTGGGTCAGGATACCACAATGGGTGCTTTATTTTTGTGTGTTCAGAGAGCAGGAATAATTATGGCTGTTCTTAAATCCTTTCCCTTGGGCAGGAGCCCATCTGGAGGGGCCTTTTATAAGTAGGGAGAAGAAAGGGGCTCATCCAGAGCACTGCCTTCGCACCTTTGAGTCAGGAGCCTTCCAGGACCTGCTTGCCACCTATGGGGCCCTAGACTGCATCCGGATTGTCACTCTGGCCCCCGAGATGAAGAGGAGTGGTGAGGTTATCGAAGAACTCACTAAACGAGGCATCTGTGTCTCGCTGGGTAAGGCTCAGTCACGGAGTGGGAGTGCAGGTCCAGAAGGTCCCTGAAGATCCTAATATGTACTATTTACATTGCAAATCCTGGGCATCACTCACTCTGTAGCACTGGTCAATACCTGGGTGAAAGTACACTGATGTTGATAGCAAAATTTAACACAAATGAACTGCCTTTGCTAACTGGGCTGGTTCATTCTGAGTGCAATACAGAAAGCTTTCTCCTTTACCAGATGCATTTCCTGATTTAAAGTGGTACTTGAGTAGTCCCTATTATAGGGCATGAATTGAAGCCTTTAGTATTTGATTTCCCTCTCCAAATTCTTCCCTTCTCTCTCCCTAAAGACAAAGAAAAAATCCCTCTGCTTCCTTTCCTTATTTGTGTAGCTGTGCTAAGTCAAAATCCTGCGCAGCTCTGGAGGTCTGCATTGAAATAGCAGTATCAGAACTTTTCTGTAAATATCAGCAGTGCTCTTCTGTCTTTAGATGGCTGCATAGCCACAAACAGCAGCACAGTTCCCAACTAGTTGGGAGTAGCTCACTCTGCATTTATAGTGGCAGTGTTTTAAAGTTCTGTCATGAACAGCCAGATTCACTCCCACATGAATGAGCAATTTGGAACTGAGCAAAGGGATGGGGGTCTGTATCTAGGGACAGAATTTGATCCATGTTTTTCCTTGAAGGCCCTAAGTGAGGCCAACCATATGAAATTGTTCACAGAAATACTAAAACATCCAAGGTGAGTGGATTTTGGGCATATAGCTTGAGGTACCTAAAGGAAGTCAGGCTCCCAGACAGTACCAAGCAGGGATTCTTGAAACTCCACCTTTTTGATGTGCATCCTAACCTCTTTGCAGAACTTAGGACAGTGTCATTTCAAAGTGGAAGCCAAACTCTTGCACTTTGAGCTAGCTGGATTTTGCTGATGTTTCCCCCACATTTTCCTCTTTGAGCTGAGATCAAACCAGCTATTTTAGATGCCCTCAAGTGCTGAAATTGAGCCACTTAAAATAAGGGTTTGTAACAGAACTGTGATTGAATGCAGTGCTCACTACCCCGCAGCCTTCATCAAAGAAAATATCCAGAAAATATCATCTTCTCTCTCCTTCCCCCACTCTTTCTTCACACACACCCCCTTTCTTCCCCCGCAAAAACCCCCAAAACAAACAAACAACAACTCAGTTTTTGAGTAATAGTTCCTAAAAACAGACACCAGGAGAGCACGTCCTTCTATGGCCCTAACCTGACCAAAAATCAGAATCCTTCATTGAAGTCCCTGGAAGCCAAGCAGCATGTGTCTGTTACTCTGCAGTATTGACCCAAATTCATCTCAGCCTCCAGTGCCTCTAGGCATATTTAGGTGTAATTCTCCAGTTCGCATTGGAGAGTCCATTGTCCAGTTCTCAGCTGTACACCAGGTGGCTTTCCAACACTGGAGCATCAGAGCAAACTTGCAGCTTGTGAAATAAGCACACCTTCCTCTTGGAAGTCAATGGAAAGAGGAGAAAGCAGTCTGAGATTTCATGTGGCACTCTTTATTCACAGGTCACTCTGTGGCAAATCTCTCTCAGGCAGAGGAAGCTGTCCAGCATGGTGCTACCTTTATTACTCACTTGTTCAATGCCATGTTACCTGTAAGTAGCTGGGGAAGGGGGTGTCATCACCTTCCTTGCTCCTTTTCTCTCTGTCGTGCTTCCCTTGGGACTTATTCTTGTCTCCCATGTGCTATGCCCTGTCTGTGGGAATTAAACATGATCTCTACATCTAAACAGAAGACTCTGCTGCCTGAGCTAAAGGACATGGGTCTCTTAGCCAAAGGCCATAGCAGGCTTGCCAGCCTCTCTGTACCCCAGCTACATATAGGAGACAGAGCCCCTCGCTGACTGGAGACTCAGCAGACTCACTTCCCCTCTTCACTCATGTCCAACTGTGGCTGTCATGGCAGCACGCCTAACTGTAGGGAGCTGGCCACCTATGTTTTTCTGCAAGGTAACCACCATCTCTCTCTCTCTCCTTTCCCCTTGCCCAGTTCCACCATCGAGACCCTGGGATTGTTGGGCTGCTAACGAGTGACAAGATCCCCACCGGTCGGAGGGTGTTCTATGGCATGATATCGGATGGCATCCACACCAACCCCGCTGCTCTGAGGATCGCACATCGTGCCCATCCCAAAGGTGTGTCCCTGTAGTCCCCTCCTGTCTGCACAGTACAGCACCTTCTCCCAGAACACTGGGTCTGTAGGAACTGACCTTCTTGCCAAATACGGTATCCTCCTCCAGTGGTGCTGGACAGGTTACCGTTACTTAAGAGTCATGCATATCTGAGGCCCTCAACTCAATCTAGAACAGTGCTTCAATGGCCTCTGATGTTGACTCTCAAGCTGTGGCACATGCTGCTGGCAGCTCCTCTGTTTCCATTGAAAGAAGCTTAATACACCTGAGTTGCTTTGTTGATATTTCCTTGCAAGTGATTGCTGCAGCTGCCCAAGTACTGTATGGGGTTGGGACTGGGATTAGCTGGCTTCCTGAGGCTGTCTCCCTGTTGAGTAGTGATTCCTGCAGTGGATCCAGTAGACACCCCTTCTGTGAAATGAGTCAGGGCTGCCTCTGTCTCCCAGTAAATGGGTGTCAGTGTCACACATCACCCACATCAACCTTACAGTAGTGATATCAGAAGAATGGCTCTGGCTTTTCTTGTGGAGGTGACCTCCCCAAGGTGGAGCAAAGAGTGAATCTTAAGCTGTCAGCCTGTTCTGTGAACAGACTACGGGCTCTGACTCCAAGGACATTAGTCCTATATCCTTCTCCAGCAGAGTAACAAATGATTCCTATTTATCCATGTTCCCACAAAGTCCAGTCTAGTGCTGCTCTTCAGTTCCCCCAACCTTCCCCATCATCCTCACTTCCGAGTTTACATTTCAGTCTGTGGCTTCCCTTTAGTCTATGAATGACCCAGCCCATGGCCTGATCCTCTCACCCAGACCTCTTGCCCTGTGCAGTGTCCTTGTTCTTCTTCCTACTCACTTGTAGTCCTGAGCTGCACCAATATGGTATGGCAGCTCTGAGAAGACACCTGCCATGTGTTCCAGTTTATTAGCATCTGCTCTGCAAGCGTGCATCATTCTGGCTGTTTCATAAGTCTCTCCAACTGCTGCTATTAGATATCCCAGAGAGTGGTATGACCAGGATTTGTTCATGTGGGGTATGATATAAGCAGCTGTAGAGGTAACAGGAGCTACTCCTTGTTTTCCTCAGGCATGGTGCTGGTGACAGATGCCATCGCTGGAATGGGACTGGCTCCAGGAAGGCACACCCTGGGCCAGCAGGTGATTGAGATAGATGGGCTGAACACCTACATTGCAGGTGAGTGCTCTTCCTCCTGCAGCACTCCCAACAGCCCCATGGGCTGCAGAGCAGATGTGAGCCCTGTGCGCATTAACCCCAGGAAGACTGGTGGTGCTGTGAGGAAGAGTATTTGGTTTCCCTTCCTGTCCAGAGGGCTCTGTTGTTTTGCTTTGCTTTCTACTGCTTTCTTCCTTGCTTTCCAAGGAATTGCACTGAGAGGCTCCATGGAGGCCCCGCCTGAGGAAGTCGGGCACCTCCTGTGGGAAAAGGCTCAAGAAGACATCATTTGCTTAGTTTTCACATCTTGACTGGGGCTGCTCTGAGCAGCCTTCCCTGTGATTGTAAGGGGAGGGACTCCCACTGAGTAAGATAATAAGGACCATTTCATTCCATTCTTTGGTTTAAAAACCCTGCTCTTTCCCAGGATCCTAGTGCCCATGAGAGCCTGCTGCACTGAGGCAAGAGGGGCTGAGTATGCTTTTTCCCCTGCCTAGTTCCAGTAACACATCCCAAACAGTTAGTCATCTGTCTAGCCCCCTTCTCCAGCTCTGCCATAGCCCCTCAATCCAGCTCTCTCACACCCACTGCCCTCCCTGGCCTTCCCTGGAGCCAAAATTTCTGCTGGCTTGAAATGAGGTTTGAAAGCCCTCATAAAAATCCACTCCTTGGATTTTTAACCCCAGTGGGTTGTGCTAGGACTCATGTATGCTCCCTTCCTTGTGTTTAAATGGCAGGTGGATCTGCTCAGTTTCCTATCTTTTCTCCTTGTCCCCCACAGGGACAAAGACCCTGAGTGGCAGCGTAGCAACCATGGATACATGTGTTCGACACTTCCTAGAAGCTACAGGTAAGCCCAGGCTCTTTGTTGCTACTTGTGGACTTTGGGGTGGAGAAAGCTGCTTCCTACTGTTGCCACCTTTTCCAAGGCAAAGGTCTCTTTGGCTGGTCAAAGGGTGTTCAGCACCTTAGATGAAATTAGATACATTGTCAGTTTCCAGCCCCTGGCTGGTCCCAAGTCCACTGGCAGGCATGGCTGCACTTTATCAGGGACAGACAGTAGGCTTTATGGGGACTGAAAGCAAAGAACCCTGCCCCCAACTGCTCCTTACTCCTACAGGCCCCACTGATGGGATCTCCTTCTCCCAGCCCCATTCCAGTAATGGTTAGATAGCAGGGCCTGCAGTAATCTTGCTCACCTGCAGGCTTCTTTCATCCCTGACAGCTCAGCAAAGTGTCATAGCGTGACTGCAGCCTGTAATGGGAACTGAAGCAGAATGCTGGGGATACCTTTGGGAGAGTCTGGGACACTGCATAGGTCCAACTGGCTTTAGTTTCAGTCCAGGGCTGGGCAGCCACCAGCAGCCCTGCGGCTGTCAGTGTCTTGCAGAGTCCTGCTTCAGTCAGCCTGTTGCTGTTCCACTGAAGGGCTCCACAGGCTGGGATGCATGGGAGGTGCTCCCCAGAGGAGAAGTCTGCATTTAGCTTCTGTCTCTCTCTCTCTCTTCCCAAGGGTGCACGGTGGAGACAGCACTGGAGGCTGCATCTTTCCACCCAGCCCAACTCCTAGGAATTGAACACAAAAAGGGGACCCTGGACTATGATTCAGATGCAGGTATGGATATGAGGGAAGGGTGATAGCTCCTCCCAACCAGCTGCTGCAGTACCTCCTGATGGGTGAGGCTGGGACCAGACAGACATGAGCTCCTTGTCCCCTGTTCTGGTCCTTGTAGAAGGACCTGAGAAAGGCATAGGTGCAAACTGCACCACTGTCAGTGCTTCTACTACACCTCCTCTTTATTGGGAGGTAGGATGGGGCTGGCACAGCTGTGACTTTCCTGTGTTGGCTTCTTTTGGCAAAAGCTCAGTAGCAGGATGCTCTGTCATTCCTCCATGGGAATGGGGGACCTATTGGTTCTTTGATATCTATTTTCTGAGCTAATTATTCTTGTACCATCAGATCCCTGTGGCAGGTTGGAAGCCAGAGGTGACTGTAGGCACTTCCAGCACCCCATGTTTGTTCAGTTGCCTGGAGCAGGTCTTCTGCTTGGGTTACATGTTTTAATTGTAAACTGGGACCCTTGCAGTCCTCATGGCAAATCCTTAGTGGGACTCTGCTAGAATCCAGTCCTTTGCCATCCCAGCTCCTGCTAATGGAGGGCATTCTTCCCAGTTGGCTGCCACTCTGACTACTGTTTGCTTTCCTGGCTGTCTGCAGATTTCCTGATGCTGGATGACAGCCTGCATGTCCAAGCCACATACATCGCAGGTGAGCAAGTCTGGAGACAGGACTCCTTTACTGTATGAAACCAGAGACTCGCCTGGCCTTGGCTTTGCTCCCCACAGCCCTAGTGCCAACCGTTGGCTCTTCCAGGTGTCTTGGTCACTGGGTCCTGGCAGCTGCATCGCCCTCTCCCTCCAAATGCGACATTTTTTTTAAAGTCCTATTTGGGGCTTTCCTTGAAGGAATCTAGCACCAAAGAGCTGTTCATTCTAGAGCAGCTGCTGCTTCCAGTCGCCAGCCATGCCTGCAATGAGTTCATCAGTGCTTTGCTGACAAAGGTGAGCATGGCAGGGATCATCACGCAATGGACCAGCTGGAAAGATGGGGCAGCTGTCCTTCCTGGAACACCTGAGCCGAGTTCCATAGTGGCTGCCAGCACTGTCCTGTGCCAGTCTGAAACTGCACAGCCCTGTGTACTTATCAGTCAGATCCAGTGCACACACCTGCTCCCAGGAGCTAAAGCCATTTCTGTCCCTCACACTGCCTTGATCTCTCCCTGTGGCAGTCCCCCACACAAGAGCACTTGGTTCCTAAGGTGCAGCTCTTTTCTAAAAGTTCCTCTGCCCTGTGTAAAACTGCTCTGGTGGAAGCTCAGGAGTTAATTGTAAGCCTGTGGAGGAGACAGTGCCTCTGCCTTGCACTGTCATCCAGGGGCTCCAAGGTCCCATCATGCTTTTGCTCACCTGTTACCCAGAGCAGTACCTCCACCCATGCACTTTTGGTCTTGGGACAGATGCAGTGTCTAGGGTGTCATGCTGCAGGGCAGGTTTCCCCCTGGGAGCAGGCCTCAATGCTGTACTCCAAATCCAGAAAAACAAGGCATCCCTGGCCCCTTGTGCCTTCCTTCTGCTTGGGCATTGAGTTCATTTCAGGTGGCCTCTGTTGCCTTCATGGACAACTTCCTGCAACAGAAAGCAAAGTTCTTAAACCATGCACACGTGCAAAATGGATCTGACAGGGTCTGATATATATGCCCATCAGTATCTTAACATACAGCTTCCCTAGAGGATTTTGCATTGCCTCTTAGTTTCCTGGTGCCAGCTATGAGATGCTTTTGCTGTCCAGAATGTGTTGGAAATGGCAGAGAGACAATTGCAAGCCACTGTGCCTATCAGGATGGTGGGGTCTTTCATGGTTTATACCCCAGAGTCTCTGTGGAATTAGGCCCCTTTTAAGATGGTTGTTCATCTGTTCATTATTCCCATATTCATTATCATCCCCTCAAGGATTTGTCAAACAGCTTTCTGCCACTTAACAGCTCTCCCTAATTAAGGCTGTGAAATAATTTCCAGCCCAAGTCTGATCTTGATTTAGAATTTATGGCCAAGAAAATGTCTGAAATGCCTTGTGACTAAGGTCAGAAATGATGTCCAAGAAGCGTCTGGTCCATCAGAATTTTGGTAGAGATGAGACTTAAAGAAATATGATGAGCCTTACCAAGTTTAAAGGTGATATAGAGCCCCTAAAGTCTGAAAGAGTTCAGCTGGGTTTGTTCTTCCATGTAAAAGCTTCCAGTACCTTTTTTAAACTTCTGAGAACAATGCTTGAAAGAGCCTTCAGGACAATTATAACCCCTGCTGGAATGACTGACAGCTCTGGAAAGTGTCTAGCATCTGGTGCCTAGGTCAGCAAAAACTAAAACCTCCAAGACTGCAACGTTTGAAAGAGACATCAAATATCGTGCTGTGAAATATTGCTTGATCTGGCAGTACAGGACTCGCTAACAGAACTTCTGACAACCATGGGGTTGCTGCCCAAAAATCAAGGGAATGCTAGGAGAAAAACTATTTCAGACAGACCTTCATTTTAAAAACACATTTCACTTAATCTCTTAGCGTTTTTTCTCCCTACCCAAAAAACTGAATGCTCAAAAGGAAATCTGCTTACAGCATGGTTGGGATAGCTTATCCAGTATGCAGGTTCAAACATACCTTTATATATGTATTGTTGAAACTCGCCCATGCCTTCTGTTCCACCTACGTTCGTGGTATGTCACATACCAAAATGGGACATTTAACAGCTGGATTTAAGGCTGCATGTTGGAACATGGGCTGTCTCCTTTGTGGTGCACTTGATAGAGGGTAGTTTGTTGAACTGGGGATGAATATATTCCAAATGATGTGGTGGGATTTGGTATTTGACAGTGGAGGGCAGTATTAGGTTAGGTGTGGACATTGCCTTCACCTAGGGCTTGTGTTTAGCGTCTGTGTGAGGGAAAACCCACTGGGAAACTGAATCCGCTGTGGACAAGTGGCTTTTTTTTTCCTTTGGCAAGGGTGGGTGGGAGGAACAAGCGGCAGAGGTGCAGGCGCTTTCCCGGAATTAGGCCTCTGCTTGGCAGACGTTTCTGCGCTGCTTTAATTTTAAAGCACGGAAGGAAGCCGCCTGGCATTCCCCATTCACCTCAGCGGAGTGAAGGGGAAGAGCTGCCCGCTGGCTCTGCCGTCTCGGCGCCGCGGTAAGTGGCTTTTATTCCAGTCCCAAGGCCGCAGAGGCCGGTCGGGCGTGGGTGGCTCTTCGCTGAAGGCAGGAGGAGGGCCGGGGCTGCAGCGGGTGGCGTTGCCCG